GTTTGGGGGGCTGAGGCGACTGCTAGCTCAATTTGTCGTCAATCATATGAGTCGACATGAAGTTTCTATTCAATTTCACATAAATGTTGAGCTTACTTCCATTTCGAGAGAAAGTGTTTGATGAAGAGATTCCAAGGTCGATCTGTCCGCAAGATGACGGTGGATTCCTCTTGACCAGCTATCGAGTTGGCTTTACTCAAACATTCTTGTTGACGTTGTTTCCGAGGCGATCTTCTTCAATTCCGGTGATTACATGTTTCCATTGAATTTCACATAGCTTTGCTTTCACATGGAAATGTGGAGTCTATTCATACCAATGTGGTAAAATTCTACCACCAGTCCCTTGATCACCCTAAATTAAATAGTGTGAATACACCTCATCTAGTGGCAGTCTCGAAAGCCAACTTATAAACGAAAAACGGTTAATGTTGGACTAGCTTTCATGTCGTTCGCAGAGGAGAATGGAAGGGATTCGTAACTTGGTCTCACCAAAAGCCGAAGTGGGATTGCCTCGGCGGTGTGAGTGAAGATGTGTGAGAATAGGTTCTCGGTGTAGCATCCTACAACTCCGATGAATCCATCACGCGACGGACATCGTCTGAGCGGACAAAGTTAGGCTATAAAAAGTAGATCGGTTTGCTTCCGGCCACTTTTTTTGTCTTCGTGTATTGGTAAAACCTGATTTCCTGCTCTCAGGCTGTCTGTCACATAACAGATTCATCGGGACGGCAGGACGGTGCGCCGAGGACCTATTCGCACAAATCAACAGTCATAGCTCCGAGGCAATCCCCTTTCAACATGCGATGAGGAGAAATTTCGAATCCCTTCCACTCGTCCCTTCAAACGAAACGAAAGCTGTTAGTTGATTGAGAGAGATTATTTTGCAATTTGGCATCATAATAAAATGAGTTTGATGTTTTCCATACCATCAATTAACTTACGCTATTACGCAATCGAAATTATGGTTTGTGGAAAAATTATTTTACATTTGAGTGCCAACGACACAAGTCAGGCTCTTTTCTGATTACTGCAGATCCCGTGCTTTTGTGTACGGGAGGGCTCATAAATGCATACAGGCGTACAAGCTTACGTTCGTTGATTGTTACATGACATGAAGTGACTAAAACTTTCAACATCTCCTAAAGATGCTTACGTCATGACTAAATATATGGCATTTCGTTAAAAGCCGGTGAGTATTCTCGACTCTTTAGCTATAATCATTCATAAGAATGATTCCTTGGTAAAATGATGCATGCCATATGATAGGCAAGAAATTATCAAGTGGGTTGACCT